ATAGTCATTTTTTACTTTTAGAAAGAAATTTATTTAAAAATTAAATTATTTATTTATTTTTGAAAAATATAATCCTAATATTAACTAATTACAATTATTTTAAACAAAACTTTAACTTAAATATGTATATACAACATTCTTAACTACTCTGAAGGACCTGGTGGACAATATTTCTTCATTCGCTTCTATTTTGTGCTTTTCTTTTCCACCCCCTCACCTTCACGTGTTTAAGGTCTTCCTCCACTTTACTAATCCACCTCGTTCTGGGTCTACCTCTTCTTTCGGGCCGATTAGTTTTCTGGTTATTACTAGTTTAGCCATTCTGTTTGCAGCCATTTTTTCCACATGTCCCAACCATCTGATTCTTTGTGACTTGACGAACTTGGTAATGGTAGGTTCTTTGTATAAAGATTCATTGTTGGTTCTTCTCTCCCAATCATCTTCTGTTTTCCGCCCTCCGAATATGCGTCTCAATATTTTCCTTTCCCATCTTTCCAGAGTATTCCTGCCTCATACCATTCCGATGGCATTATTTTCTTTTCCCATACTTGCACTAGTAGCTGATATATTTTTCTTTATAGTAGTTCTCCACCTACTTGATCATTTCTATGCATATGTCATTTTTACCAGGACTTCTGTTATTTTTCATTTCTTGTATTGTGTCACCACCTCCTCCTCTGTAGGCTGCCTTTTAACTATCGCATCTTCTCCAACCGTCCAGTTGTCTACTGCTTCGTGGTCCACCTCACCATTTAATAATTCTTCAAAATGTTTTTTCCATTCCGTCATTATTTCTGCCGGATCGCTAATTAAATTTCCGTCTTTATTCTTGTTTTGTACACTCTCTATTATCTGTTAATATTTGTTGGCTGGTCTTCTTCTTTTCCTTTGCTATCGCCTAACACTCTTCGTCAAACCAATCTTTGTTTGAACTTCTCTTGGAGTCGCACTTGGCTATTTTCTCGCTAGCTTCTCCTACGGCAGATTTAATTTGTTCCCAGGCTTGATCTGTCTGTAAATTTTGGTCACATTGTTGTAGAATTTTATTTATTTCTGCTTCTTATTTATTTTTTATTTCTACTTCCTTGAGTTTTTTAATATTGTACTTTCTCTTCGTTTTATTGTTTGAGTTATGTTTTTCTTCCAGCCTCCTCCCACATGTGACTTTAACGAGGTAATGGTTCGAGTCGATTTCAGCTCCTCTCATGCTTCTTACCTTCTGAACGATATTCATATATTTACTTTCAATCATAACATGATCTATTTGATTCACCGTCCTTCCATGTGGGGAGACCCACGTACCTTTGTATATTTCTTTTCGTTTTAGTTGTGTGCTTATCACCACCATGTTTTTCTCCATGGCAAATCCAATAAGTCTTTGACCATTATCGTTTGTTACTTCGTGTTTACTATAGTTACCAGTTATTGCAGTGTACAGAGGTTCTTTTTCCACTTTAGCATTACAATCACCCATTATTATTTTTACATCACGTTTAGGTAGGCACTCATACTCATCATTTAGCTGCTCATAGTAAAGATTATTTTATTTCGTCTTCTGACGGTGCATGAATATTGAGTATACTCCTATTCCTTTTCTTACTTTTAATTCGTATTGAACATTTCCTATCAGAGATAGGATTAAAACTTTGTCAGACTTTGCCCTTGGTACATTCAGCTACTAAAAAACCAGTTCCAAGGATTCTATCTTTACCTCCATTTTTGAAGAGCACCATATCTTCATGTTCAGTTACTTCCGATCCTAATTGTTTTATCTGTTGAAGAGCCATTAAATCGATTTTATACTTCCTTGCCTCATTCATTAGTTCTTTTAGATAGAGCACCTTCATAACAGGTTTCTCTGACATTTCATGTAGCTAAATGTATCTTGTCATTCTTCGGCTTTATCTTTGTATGTCTAGTTTTGTTTCGCTTTCATAGTTCGTAATCCTTTTCTTCGCATTGTTCGTCTTCATTTCTTTCCTTCTCATACTGGTGTTTAGTTTTTTGCTTTGGTCTCTACCACCAACGTTTGGTTGGTAAAGAAAGATTTAATAAATAAAAAAAAATAATACATGTAAGTATCTTAATTATTCTTTCGAGGATTCTCCATAACATAAAATAGATACCATATAAGGTTAGTTCAATCATCTTTACCTTCAGAAAGTTCAATAATGGCTTTATTTAGCAATTAATCTTCAAAATTGCATTTATATTGATATCTCGCTAGGTTACAGAATGTTGATGTAGAATTAGATCAATTCAATGTTTTCTTTACAGCCACTTCCATTGGATAAAAAGTAAATCTCTACCATACATAAAAAATTCTGTTACATATCTAGTTTTAATATGGAATTCATTATAAAGGGTTTCCCAATAGGGACGTCCTGTTTTTGAAATGTCATAGCGGCCATTTTGAAAATGGTAGAACTGTTACTTGTTGACGTTTGTATTTAGTATACTCTAACAAATTACCATGGCAAAATATACGCTAGAACAACGTTTGGAAATTATCCTAAAATTTTATGCTAATAATCGTTCTTTTGTGAATACCCATCGTGCATTACGTGAAAGTTATGGATCAAATCATCGTCCTGATGTGCGCGTAATTCGTCAAATCGTGGAAAAGTTTGAACGTGAATTCAGTCTGAACGATACGAAACCAACAATTAGACGCCGAAATGCAAGAACTCAGAACAATATTGCTGCTGTAAGAGCCAGTGTAGCGGAGAATGCAAATGTGTCCGTAAATCGTCGTTCTCAAGAACTTGGACTCACCAGAATGACAACTTGGCGAATTCTGAGAAAAGATTTAGGCCTACACCCTTACAAGATTGTTCTGACTCAAGAACTGAAGCCACTTGACCATCATAAGCGTCGTTTGTTCGCTGATTGGGCTCTAGACAAACTCGAATATGATGGCGATTTTTTCAAAAAGGTAATCTTTTCCGATTAGGCTCATTTTTGGTTAAACGGCTTTGCGAATAAGCAAAATTGTCGTTTTTGGAGTGAAAATATTCTAAATGAGATTCTTGAAAAGCCTTTTGGATGAAATGGATTTGGATGGCATGTTTTTCTAACAGGACGGTGCCACATTTCACACTACTGCCCCAACCATTCATTTATTGAAGAAAAAGTTCCCGGAAACACTGATTTCTTTTGATGCCAGAGATCCCAGGAGAATTCAGCAACTTCGACCAGATGCTTGGCCTTTGGCACCGTTGGATTATTTTCTATGGGGCTATATTAAGTCATTGGTCTATGTGAACAAACCACAATCTACTGAAGACTTGAAAAGGAACATAGAGCACACCATTCGTGATAATAATGCGGATATTTTGCATAAAGTGACCGAAAATTGCGTGACATAATTCACTCCTGCAAACGTAGTCGCGATGGACATTTGAATGATATGTTATGCGGAATATAATTGTTATCTATTATATTTTGCAACAATTTTTTTTTATTTACAGCAATGTTTATGGTTTTCTTTAAAAAAAACATCAAGACATTCTTATTGGAAGACCTCATACTTCCAGGTTGTCTTCGTGGACACCTTAAAAATGGCTTCTGGTCCTCAGAATAAATGGCCCCATTTGAACTATCAGAATACATAGAATTATTTATACATATACCTACCTGGTAGGTACCTACAAAAGCATATCCAGGGAATATCATGTCTAATTAAATTGTCAGCATATAACATCAATATACATGTATTCTATAGAAGATTTATTATTTAATTTTGAGAATTTCGTGATAAACTCTGGATATTTTGTATACTTCTTCTTCTTTCGTCCATTTTTGGACATAGGCCTCTCTCAACTTCTTCGGTCAATCTCTATCCCGATCCTGAGCAAACATACTTCCAATTTGTTTTAGCTATTCTTTTTATGTCGTCTACCGTTGTAAGGTCTCTGTTACGTTAGGAATCTCCTACGGTTAATTTTCGCAAGAGACTCCTGGTTCAAAAAAATACAAAATTAAATTTTTATTACAAAAAAATTACACAAATGTACTTTAAGTTTTATTTAATTCAGTTTGCTTCGGTCTTCGGTGGTACAGTTCGACTGACCATATCAATATATTCTATGATATTCGATACTCCCTACATTCGCAGACGAAAAGATCGTAAAATTTAATTGGCTAACACCAGCGTCCATTTTTGGACATAGGCCTCTCTCAACTTCTTCGGTCAGTCTCTATCCCGATCCTGAGCAAACATACTTCCAATTTGTTTTAGCTATTCTTTTTATGTCGTCTACCGTTGTAAGGTCTCTGTTACGTTAGGAATCTCCTACGGTTAATTTTCGCAAGAGACTCCTGGTTCGAAAAAATACAAAATTAAATTTTTATTACAAAAAAATTACACAAATGTACTTTAAGTTTTATTTAATTCAGTTTGCTTCGGTCTTCGGTGGTACAGTTCGACTGACCATATCAATATATTCTATGATATTCGATACTCCCTACATTCGCAGACGAAAAGATCGTAAAATTTAATTGGCTAACAAGCTCTCAGCCAGAGAGACGATACGCTGATTAGGGAATTTTTTAAATACACTTTAAGTATTTACTTGACATTCTCCCACCTTGAGAAATTTGTTATAATTTCTCAAAAAATGAAGAGAGTTATTAAAAAGTCATGAAAATATGTTGACTTTGAGGATCAATGATCTCCAAACGAAGAAACATCTTCTGCCGTTTCTGCTATCCTGATACAAAAGTTTGCAGTCGATATTAGTGAGCTTTAAAACAAGAAGGAGAAGGAAGAAAATCTCTAGGGATTATGAAAATTATACAATATGATTGCATTTTTATTGAAATAGGCTGGTTAGGTATGTACCCAAAGTAATTCACATTTAATTTGACCATATTATCTTTCTTATAGGTCTTTTTTCAATTCGATTATGCAATAAGCCGTTCATTGGCACGGATAAAATATTTATGTACTGATAAAATTGGGTAAAAAAATTACAGAAATTATTTGTACTTATATTTTTTTATCATCTTCAACATAGTTTATATATAAATTTATTATTGATTTAATTCGATCTGATGTTTATAATTATACGCTGTACACAATAGTTCACGTTCCAGAAATATGATGATTTCTTCTTTTATATATGATGATTTGTGATCTGCAAATAATAGAAAGTGTTAGAAATATATTTTCTGCAATAAAAAAATATTTTTTGGCATTTACTCGTTTTCACATTATACATTCTCTTATTGTTAGACGAATACACTATAGTAGATACATGAACAAAATGGCGTTGTTTCTGGACATATATTATTGATTAACAAATTAGGTAAGAGCAATAAAAGTGGACTTACTCATAATCGGTTTAATACTACTTAGGGCGACCGATTTCGCATACTACAATTTGCTATGCATCTTCAGGTCTCCGGTAAGGTACGTATCCAATGCCTCTTCTATCACTATGTAATTTCAACCAACTTGAGCAAGATTTGATTAAATACTGTGTTCGATATTTGCCTTGTGTACCATCAAAGACTATGTAATTTGTTGAAATATTTCTGACTGAAAAGAAGTCGATAAGGTCTGGGATGTTATTTATGTCAGTAGGCCAGTATGTTGGCTTTCCCGTTGATATTGCATCGCATTTTATTCATTACTTCTAGAAATTCTTTCTCTTTGGTGGTAGTCAGTCATGACCCCCAATGCGTATGTTTTGCATTGAAGTCTCCTCCAAGGATAAATCTATGTCCTTGGCTGGTCAGGAAATCTACATATTGATTTTTCATGATGGCATGTCTTATCGGACTGTAAACCGCTGTGACGATTACCTCATACTTTTTACATTTAATTTTTACTGATGTGGCCTGAAATTCTTTAGTTCTGTATCCCATTTCCTGATAGTGCATAATATTGTCTTTAATTATTACTGGTCATCACAATCCTTCCAGAACGCGGTATTGGTCTCCATGAACATCGAAGTATTGTACATCGGACATTGTACATTTATAAGGAAGGAAAATAATTTAGAAGAACTTTTAAAGACAATTGACCATGGCGTCAGAAAAATTTTCATTGCGTTGGAACAATTTCCACGAAAATATAAGTTCAGGAATAAATGCATTATGGAAAAGTCAAGATTTTGTAGACGTGACGCTTTCAGCACAAGGAAGAGTGTTAAATTACAGGAAGAAATACGACTTTGATATGAGGAAAGAAAGTAAGAATGCAATATATGGATATTATAAAAATAAATTCGAAGAAAGAAAAGAATATAGAAACAAAAATTATAGAAATATAAGTGAATATGAAAGACATGATACGAGGATATATCGTAATAGAAACAGAGGAGATTGGCAATCACAACGAAGAAGAAATAATAATCAATGGACACAGGTGAGATGCCACAGAAATAGATGCACAGCGAGAGCATATTACGCGCCGCACGCGAATACGAATACAGTGACAGAAGTAGATTTTTTTAACAGAAATGTAGACAAACTGGATGTGGTTCGACCTTAATGGTTGGAATCTACGTCGAGCAGGAGGTTGCTAAGAGGATAAGCTAGGGTGGTACTTGAATCCCAACCCGCTAAGAGTCCTGCGGCTCCAGCACAACAGTACAGTAACTACATAATGGATTAAAATGGAAAAACGAATTTGGAATTATGATTTTTTTTAATGAAGTAAATGGAAAATTATTGAAAAAGAAGTTTGCCACAATAAAGAACTTAGAGGAAATTATATTACAACATAAAACCCACAAGCAAATAGTAAGAAAGGTACTAAATAATATGGAGGCGCATAGACTACCAATTTTGTCTTTAGGAGCAAACCGAGTCTCACCAAGACTGAGTATTCGGGTCAAAAACAAAATCAAATGGTTAGGAAAATGAGCAATAAGATATAGAGATATAATAGGAAAAAGGAAATAGGATATTGAAAAATGTAAAAATATACATAATATGCGAAGTACCAAAATCGTAGAGGATGAATATAGTATGAATGAATATAAATAATGAATATAATATATACAATTAGTGTATTTATATGCAAGAGAAGAAACGATATTAAATAAAATAAGTACGCACACATGCGGAAAAATGAAGAACAGATTATTTTGAAAAATATATGTCTATATTAGTACATATTAGGCGAAATTAATTTCGAGATCGAACCGATACAAAATAAAAAATACAGAAGAAACAGTTATAGTAATATAGAAACCAGAAGTTGTGAAGGAATTTACAGAAGAATTAATAGATAAACCGATTAAGATTGTGTTACCTATAGGAATCATAAATGTAAATAATCGAGAAATATAAATTAGAAGATGGATAACCAGGAAAATTTTATATATTTTATATGGAAGAAACAAAACAAAAGAGAAAAAAGTCGAACAACTATTAAGCACAGTAAAAACCATCAATATTTGAAGAAAAAAGGTCCATAGAAAATTGCAGAATATGCAGATATTTTTATTTTTTCGGAAAAAGACCCATATATACAAAGAAAATGTTACTTTGCACAAAGATACGAAATCAAAGAAAAACCGTACTCATAATATTTTATTATGATAACAAAACGCAGTATTCCTAGCATAAAGATCACATAACGACATTAGGTTAATTTTATAGCCGACTTACTATTAGACATTTGATATAGTTGCATGGTAAGCAAGGTCATCAATTATGAAATGAGTACAACATAACTGAACAGGTTGATTATTTATTATTATGACCCGTATATTTAAAAATTTTATTTACGATGCAAGAAGAACTAACAAGTATGGATTTTATTTTTCGACATAGACGGAAAATCGATGAACAAAATATGTTCATATGTTTTCTAGAAGAGGAACTCTTAGGACATAATATTTCGAATAAACAGACACCGTAGAATGCAAAAGAAGCAAAGCGATTGTTGCATTTGCAAATTGTTATAGAAAACATGTCATCAATTTTACAGAAATAGCCGCATCACGTAACAGACTATCTAGAAAAAATAAAGTTTAATGGACTACTGAATGTCAAGAAGCATTTATTAAGCTCAAGACATATCCCCGTTAGCTAATAAGCCCCGTTATATAATTCCCCGATTTATCGAAGAAAAACAAATTTAGGTTAAGAATTTATGCTTCCGGAATAGCATTAGGAGACAAATATGAATGCAGAAGATTATAAAAGAAATGATAATAATGAAAAATGAGAATAAGAAGAGATGAAAAATAAGAATCAGTCAATTCTTAATGAAATACGAAGAGAAAAATAATAATTTTTTTAAGAAAGTATAAAAGCTTGTATAGTACAAGATAATAGAAAATGAAACAGTAGCCAAATCATTGGTAGAAAAATTTATCTTGAGGTATGGAGTACCCAGAAAAATAATAGCAGACCAAGGCACAGATTTTATAGCTAGAATAATTAAGGAAGCAATACTTTGCTACAATTAGAGTCAATGAATATACTCGTAATATATACATGTACTTTTGAATGCAAATAATATATAGAGATATTTTTAAATGAATATAATGTGTAAATATAGTTTTAAGTTCGTACAAAATATATGTTTTTAAATGTGTATAGCAAAAAGAAAAATGTTAGACTGTATAGTAGGTAAACAACATAAATAGGGATAAATGAATAAATAGATAAAATGATAAAACTTTATTGTGAGATGTCAAAGTGACTAATAGTGTATATGTGAAAACAAAACAATTACTTGGTACCAAGAATCATTACAAGAATTAATGCAAGCATTAATATAAGAATTATTATAAGATTTTATTATTATAAATTTATTTATTATGTAAAATATGTAAAGGTTATTGTAAAAATTATGTGCACATAAGAGGGGGTAATATAAGGTAATATAATCTAAATAATTTAACGTAAGGTAAGAAAAAAACGTACGAGTAAGGCATAATGGAGGATACCAGATAGCATATCACAAGGGAACAATTAGGGTAACCTTATAATATGCTGAGGTAAGGTTAGGTTACTAAATTTTTACTAAATGTAAGGAAATATATACCAACATTTGTATAAATATGTATACGGTAGCATAGGTAAACAGTACTTATTTGAGGTTGCAAAATTTCTCTTTTTCCAAAGGGAAAGAGAGAGGAATGAGACAGTTGCAAAAGAGAAATTTTTTCCGTAAGGGGGATGGTGTGGTGTTATTCCTTAAATATTAGAATTCACATATATAAAATATTATAATTTATACCCGTGTAACATTTAACATTTTGTTTATAAAAATATAATTAGTAATTTGAATCGAGGACATTTATAAATAACATACTCTAATTAGAATTGTTAAATCAGCACTATTGCCGATCACCACATATGCGTGGCGTAGGTCATGAACAAACTTGACATACTAATAAGTAAACAATTGCTGATATAGCAAGGACTACTATAAAAGCCCTAACAATCATTCTCTCAGAGATCTTAATTAATATGCCGACACTATGGCCAGTAAGGCATCATCTATCGTCATCGTCAACTAAGTACTGATATATTTAAGATTAATTAATAGTGAAAGATTGTACAAGCAGTGATTAATAAATGGGCAACTAAGTTACAACATATTATTTACTACCCCACAACATTATTTATTACAAGCGGAACAAGCCAATTTTAATGGCCTGCGAGATCTCCGGGTTTGGCTCCCATGGATTTCTTTTTCTGGGACATCCACCATCTACGGTAACGATCCAGAGAGGGCACATAGCTGATTTAGAAAATAAAATCGGAAATGCATGTGCTAAGATTGAGCCACAACAGCTTACAAACGTAAGACAAGCATTTTATAATAGACTAGGTTATTATCTTGCAAAAGAAGGTGGTATATTTGAACGTTTTATTTAGTTTACTTGTTATTTTGTACAGTAGAATGTATTTTTTGTTTTCAATTTCTTTAAATTAATTATTTATTTGTGTTTAACTACTTTAGAATAATACTTTTTCGTTTTTCGGTATAGCATTGCAATAACTTTAAATTATTTACTTAACTCCCTCGATGCACACCCCATAGAGTCTTAATTTATACTAAAAGTCAAAACGTCTGCAGCCTTGGCCACATCAGTGGGCTTAAGAGAGCACAGTTGCCACTCTTACCTCACTGTATATTTATTACCTATGTCCAGCTGAAACATTTACGCACTGTGCCTATTAGAGAGTTTACAGCAAAATACGACATTTGTCACATAGAATTCAATTCTTACACTTTTACGGTCAATTTTGAAACTAATATACACAGGTTTTGCACTGTGTTTCCTTTTTGTATTATCTACCAAAACCCACCTACAATGTCCTCCGCTATTTGTACAAATCAAGTCTACCACGTAAAAGGAGCTCGTTCTCTCAAAATCCTAACTCCAAACTTCTCCCATTCTTCGGCTTGAATCCACAGTTCGTGTGCTGTTTCTAGACATGACATGATACAGGCTCCTTTCCAGGCAATCATCGATGGATCCATGTCGCGCGGATTGGTGACAATGTCTAACTGTTCAGCGCGATAGAGATATGGAATCTGCAGAGAGATTCTGTTTTGAAGCCATGTACCAATGCCTGAAATACATAAAAATATTTTTATCACAGTGGTATATGCGAAATAACAATATAATAAAATGGCGATATTTGTAATTTTTTAAATCAGTTAAAAACTTTAGATTTAAACGCATTTGAATAATTTATAATAGAAAACTTCATTTCATTCATTTTTCAGCGTTCAGGAATCTGGACTTTAAAGATCTGGTTGGCTTACTTTTGAGTATTCGTATATACATACGTCTTATGGTAACTTATGCGTGTAAAAGTATGTTTAGATCTGATACTTATTACATGAAATTTGTGTCACGCATAAATCTTTACTAATGTAAACAGTGAAAAATTTATATCAGACATATATATTTCAACTACCAATAACTTGTGCCTACACATCTATAACAATAACTGTCTATAACTTATTGTAAAAAGCTAGATGTAACTCTACTTAATTGACACTTGCATCATGATACAAGATTGATGATAAAAAAAGAGTGATTGAAAGCTGATGTGGAACAGTTAATTAATTTGTATCAAGTAAACTTTATGAATTATGAATTGCAGGATACATATGCAAAGTTACAATCGCTACAACTCGTTCTTTTACACTATATAATTGTTATTGTTCTGAAGCTATTTTCTTGTGGCATTGTAAATTAATTACTATTTATAACTGGGAATAAGCCACAATTAAAGATAAAAATACGTTTATTGACGTTTCAATTTCCAATTCGGAAATCGTTCTCAAAATACAAACAGAAAATTAAACAAATTTTGTTTTTTGTTACATAGTGAAAAAAATTCTTCTAATAATTTAATTTTATCTGACTCATTTATATTGACAATTCAGACATACATTATGCATTTTAAAATTATATAATTATATTATGCATTATATAATTGTTTTATAGTTTTATTTCAATCAGCAGACTTCATTCTGTTAACGAATTCGAAAACTTTGCTGGATACTCAATAATGAGCTCAGACATCAACTGATTGTCGACACCCGCTTTGTTCACGTCTCAAAATACACACAGAACGTTTTTTTCTTTTTGCTCATATTTTTGCGTTTATTTATAGATATATTCATCATAGCGAAATAAAATATACGCTTTGCAAAGAAATACGATACAGGGTATACGTGTCACTAAAATTAACAACTAAAATGATAACAAATAAACTGAATGAAATTATAACACTAGCAGAAGAACAACAAGGTTTTAGGTCAGGAAGGTTATACACCGACGCTATATTTATAATGAGGCAAGTGCAAGAGACATCAATAGAATACAACAAACCGGCATATCTATGTTTCGTGGACCTTACAAAGGCATTTGATCGGGTTAAATTAAAGGACGTTATTCATTTATATTATGCAAGACACATACTTCTAAGAGTAATCAAAACGAGCGAAAATATCTACCAAAACAACACAATAAAAGTACAAGCAGAAGAAGAATTAACTGATTCTATTGAAGTTGGCAATGGGATGAGACAGGGAGATTCCCTGAGTCCTCTGGGAAAAACAGACAGAATCATGTCTACATAAAAATAAGAAGAAGAAGAAAGAAGAGTCTTTAAGTGGAAACATAATGCTAGTATATCTGAGAGTGGAAGCAGAATTTCCTTTTTATTGAGAATAAGAAACTAATTTAAAAATAACGTCAAAAATTATAGAGCAAGCAATTTACATCGAAATTTGTTATTGCCTGGAATATTGCTCGACCAAAACCTCATATCAGGATTTAGCAAATCCTCATAACGAGATAAACAACTAAATGGCGCATAACTGCTATTAATACATCTCTTGAAGTTAATTTAAAAATGATTTGAGGAACTGGAAAACTGCTCATCAAGTGTCCATCTTTAAAAAGGATAATCGAAAATATCCTAACTGCTACAGAGGATTAAGTGTCCTACCTACTTTCGGTAGATTGTTTGGAAAGATAATAAATGGAAAAAGACAAAATCATCTAGGACATCTAATTAGCGAAGACTAAAGTGGATTTACGCCTGGTAGATCTTGCACTGATAACTTGATTATATTCCAACAATTAATAGAAAAAAGAATAGCGGTTGGTACCGAAGTACATCTAGACTTCATCGACCCAGAAAGGGCGTATGATACAGTTCTAAGACTTAAATAATTGTGGCAAGCTTTACAACAACTCGGCATTAGTCAATACCTTTTAGGAATGATCACAGAAGTATACAGGGATAACACTACTTACCCAAAAATCGGAAATAGACCATTAGAGCCAATAAAAGTAACTAAAGGACTAAGGCAAGGATGCAGTATGTTACCCTTACTGTTTAATTTATGTGTTGAGGTAGCCCTCCAAAATTGGAAAAACCACTGCCAGGGATTGGGAATCTCCATAGGAAATAAAGTACTATTCTCCCTGAACTTTGCGGATGACCAAGTCGTCCTAGATCAAAATTCTTATGATCTATCAGCCTAGGAATCTATAAGAAATAACATGAATGTTACAGAAACGGTTATTGACAGAATATAAAGAAGAGGTTTAAAATGGTTTGGACACCTATTGAGAATGCCTGACGAACGTTGGCCCCAAAAACTTCACAGATGAAAGCCCCCTGGAAGAAGAAAAAGCGGTAGACCTCGACGCTCATGGAATGAAGGAATTAGAAGAGCGATGGAATCGAAAGGTTTGGAGGAGGAGCATGCTATGGACCGGGAGGATTGGCGAAGGAGAACGATAGTCGTCTCCAAAATGTATTGCACTTACAAGTGGGATCCTGTAACCATCACAGATTTTTCGAAATTGGCAGTTTGCATACGTTTTGTTTCAGCTCACTTCGTTCTTTAAGATTATTAGATTTAGTGACACTTCAAGAATCAACTCGCATTGTAGATATTAAAAATGCATTAGATTCCGTAATGAAAACTTTTGATATGCCTCTTAATAAAATTGTAGGCGACGGAGCTCTTGCAATGCTGGATAAAAAGGCTGGTCTTATTGGACTTTTAAGAGATGATTCTTAAATTCCTCAATTCATACTGATATATTGCATAATTGACAGTTCAAAAATTTCCTTGGGGAATTAAAGGAGGAAGAACTTAAAAATGCCATTAATTTATTTTGCACTATTAGGTGGATTTTATCAACAACGTATTAAATCGATTTGTAGATTTGTTTGATCCGATAATTGCATTTCTCAAAAAAAGAAAATAACGTATTCAGAATTAAACGATTACGAGTGATTACTATAACTTTTTTGACTGATCTGATGGAACAATTACAAGCACTGAATTTACAATTGCAGGGAAAAGATAACATAATTGTTGACCTCTCACAGTGTATGTTTAGCTTTCAAACTAAATTAAAAGCTTTTTCAAAATGACATTAAAAATAAAACATTTTGCCACTTTCCTCGAATAAACAAAATTGATCCAATATTAAACAAGAAAAATTCAACGAGTTTATAAAAAATCTAAAAGGAATATCTCTTCATTTTTTTCAGATTCCATTTGGAATTAAAATGAGTTTCCAAATGAGGTTTTGAATTCCAATCTCCAGGAATCTCTTCAGAGATCAAGCTTTACAATTAAACTATAAGTCAACGACGATTACTGAATTTTAGAAAGTCCATATTGTAACGATATAATTTGTCTACCAAATTGGTTATCACTTATAGGGCGTTGAAAGTGGGGACTGAGCAATTACTGGGCTGGAGATGGGGTAAGCAAACAAATCGAAACGTTTGCGAACGGCCATTTTTGTTTTGGTTGGAGAGCTGGGTTCCCTGGGAGATTCCCTGGCAAAAAAAAAACACAAGAAAGTTCCTAAACTATTTGAAATAGACGCCGTTTAAAATAATCTTTTTGCTGGATAGAAAGAAAGGCTTTTATTTCCTAAAAAATATTAAACGGTGAAAATCTTTTTAAAGTAAATAATTTTACAACTCCTGGTTTGGAGAGAAGCATTGCATATTTATTATTACTTCGCATTAACAGTTATTACAAATAATATTAACAAAGTTTATCATAAAACCTACTAGTTGTAACTATTTAAATCATTATTAGAAATACAAATTATCTAAATTTTTCAACGGAGCTTACATTGAGGTTAACCTTTAAACAAAACAAATTTCAAAATGGTTATATACCAAATGTGAGAAAAGGATAATACTGTTATATGGTGAAATGAAATATCAAACCTTTTTGAAATATAAAATATTAAAATTAATTGTATTTAAAAGAATACTAATATGATAATTAGCTAATCCATAAAAATTATAATTTTATTTATTTATAATCTTTTAGTTAGCTAATTTTTTATTAATGAAAAATTGTTTATTTTTACTTTGAATAATTTTAATAAAAAATATCTGGTATTACTGGCTGATGTATTGACATATTGATGTATGGGGTGACCATGGAACACAAAATGGACAATTCTTGTGAAGTTGGACACTGATTCGGGCTTCGGGTTATTCTGGATGACAACAAACTGCAATCTTCAAAACTCGGCCACTTAATTCCTTCTTAAAACCATGTGGACCTGTCGAATGGTTGGAAACGCCGTCTTCTCATCTCCCACATATGGCACAGCACAACCAATCGGTAATTAACTCAACAAAAACTGCCAAATAGCATCTCTCAACTTAAAAAAATTGCCGGCTTTTGAAGACTACACGCTGAAAGCTATCTCTTCTCAAATTTTAAATCTCCTCTCTTAGACTACACTTCACTCTACATTACTGAATTCCCGATAAAAAAACGAATAACGAAAAACTATTACGAATTTAAAAAAGAAAATCCTGACTAAACAATGACCTGACTCCTATCGTGGTCCATAGTCCATTGGAGAGTGACATCCATGGACGTATCTTTATTTATACGTCCATGGTGACATCATAATCTCCCCGCATCACTTTCCCACCAACCTACGTGGATATTTATTTGACGTGTAATAATAAGCGGAATAAGGATCAACATAATGTAATCAAAATTATTATATACAGACCAATAATGTTTATATCATCAGTCCCAGCGACGCAAAAGAATTGAGAATATTTTGAGTGATTTAACATATACGAGGGGAAATAGAAATGCTACAATATTCGAAAAACGTACTTACGTACGTACAACGTACTTACGTGTTTTTTTTAGAGCTATATGAATTTAAGTTAGCAACACTTTTTTAACTATCGGCCATTTTGACAGCTGTCAAGTGATTTATGTTAAGTTTGGTTTAGCATTTTAGCATGAATAGACTTACAGCCTGAATAACACCTTCAAATTGTGCACATATATTTTGAAAATTATAGTTCTATTCAAAATACGTATCGAGCACTATGTCCAATTTCGCTGATTTTGACGAACGTGCGCGGCGTTCGACTAACTGTGAGTTATGCGTCGCTCACTGTTCTAACAAACCATAGCTTAAAGCTATGGTCGCATAACTCACAGTAAGTCAAACGCCGCGCACCTTCGTCAAAATCAAAGGAATGGTTATCTATAATAACGGTTTGTTAGGTTCTTCTGAGCTGCGCGCACTGCAGAGCGGTAACCATGTACGTCGACGGTGTACACTGGAATCAACTGCGATTTGATTTGGACGCAAACGTTCAGCTGAGTTCACAGCGTACACATCTATACCGAAATTATAATTGTATCTTTATATAGTTACAAATTGTAAGACAGTTCCAAATAAATCCCTAGAAAGTCTATTCTCGAAAATTTTCCTCGTTTTGAAACAATCTTTCTTCGACTGTTAATTTAAAAGCACCTTCTGTATTAAGACATGAAAAAATTTCGTTTACATTTTTATTTCTTTTATTTAGATTTAACGTTATTAACTCTTATACTTCCCTCTCTTCTTGGAGAAATAATATTATTGCGTTAAGTGAGAATTCATTTTTTTAAACGTACAACCTTTGCGAGAATAAACGAACAAACAGTATTTCTAAACTTGTTTTCAGAGCGACAGAATATGTGTAGGTATGCGAATTAATCAAACAAACCGACTCACCCAAAACTGCCGTGAGTCATTCGTGCATGCTATGTGCTGCGCACTGTTCTAACAAACCGTAGCTTAACTGACATGAAAAGTCGACGGTCACTTCAAGCGTAGTTTCTAAGAGAACGGTTCATTCTAGATTAAAAATGCTTATAAACAATTTTGTTTGAAATTATCTCAGCTACATTTTTTATTTGAAACATTTTTTTCTACGGTGTACAGATTCTTATTAAATCGTTTTTTTTTTCGTTTTTACCCCCCTGCGAGGGGAGTTTTAGGGGGAAGCCCAGGGGTAAAAGTGGTAAACTATTTGCATCTTTTTTGGAGTTCCAAAATTAATTTTCTCTGAAAAACTCAGCTTGTTCGTATAATTTTTAGGGGTCAATTCTCTGACGACTGAACTAATAAGGGAATTTTGTTTGGCGATGAAGCTCACTTTTATTTAAATGATACGTCCACATACAAAAGTGCCATATTTGAAGTGAAGCTAATTCTCAAGTGTATATTAAGAAGATATTACATCCAGAAAAACTGACCGTTTAGTGTGCTTTATGGTTTGGTGGAATCATTGGGCCGTACTTCTTTAAAAACGATGCTGGCCAAAATGTTACACTCAATGGTGACCGCTATAGTCATGATTAGTGACTTTTTCATTTCTCAATTGAACAACCATGATGTGTAGGAGTTGTGGTTTTAACAAGACGGCACAATATGTCACACAGCTTGTACACTTCCCGTCATATAAAACTGGTTCACTTGTTTTCCCAATGTAAATCTGTGTTCAGACTGGATACAATGGAGCGTGAATCAATTCGTTGTTGCCATCACAGATAACGGAATTGCACTAAATCTAAATAAAAAAAGACCTTCTTCTTCTTCTTCAGATGCAAATCCACTAATGGATGTTAGCGATCACATTTTCCATTAATTCTCTATTTCTTGCAATATGTATCAGAGATTGTATGTCGTTAATCCCTGTCCATTGCCTTATGTTTCGGAGCCAGGACATTTTCTTGCGTCCCATTCCTCTCTTGCCTTCAATTTTAAAAAAAGACCGAAAGAACTAAAAGTTTTTATATAGATATTAGTATTAGCATTAACAACAAAAAACCGTATCTAATAAATTTAATAACCAGAGAGAGAGAGAGAGAGAGAGAGAGAGAGAGAGAGAGAGAGAGTTAATGCCCAAAATGTTTAAAGGATTTTTAAACGTAGCGTATTGGCACAGGGAACATTGGAATGCATCTACTGTAATTGTAGGTATACTTCATTTTCCTACCGAATACTAACTGTTAACTGTATTTTATGTCAATAAGTTTAATAACAAGTAAACTACCAAGATTTATTTATTATTTATTACATGAACGATAAATGTGGAAAACTAACATTATACTTTATCCTACGTAGATTATAAACTATAAAATATCCAGGGGCGAAAAAACGCTTTTCAAAACGTGACAGTATTACATTGTAATTCAATATTTCACTGTAATGTTTCTTATGGAGATTTAATCTACATCCCAATTGCAATATTCTTTTATCTATAAATAGATTTACAATTTATAAATATATCTTTTTTACTACATTATTATATAAATTATAATAAAACACGAATCATTGTACGGGTACTTAATTGAGATGATGAAAAATTACAAAATTATTAGGAGAATTTTTAGGATGCATGTCTAAATAAATGTGATTGACTGAACGAGAATCGGGAATGCTCGATAATGTTTTAGTTTTTATTAATATACTGAAAACTTGCGGTCTGTCACACAGCACTGCTTTTAGCTGATTTGATATAATATTTACGTTGAACTGGCAACGTTGCCCTAGAAATTAGAATGACATGTGACAAGATCAACTTACAGAACTTTAAAAACCCGATTTTCGGTTATAAGAGTTGTAACAGATTTTTATGACGGGAACGGTACCACAATTGATTTATTGAAGAAAATGTTTGGTAACCGCATAGTTTCACGTTTCCGACCAGTGAATTGGCCTCCAGTATCTTGCGATTTAACACTGCTAGACTATTTTCTGTGTGGGTATGTGAAGTCGCTAGTTTACGTCGATAAGCCTGAAACGATTAACCACTTAGAGGACAACATTCGCCGCGTTATTGCCGATATACAGCCACAAATGTTGAAAAAAGTGATCGAAAATTGGACCTCCAGATTAGACTACGTCAGAGCCAGTAGTGGCAGTCATATGCCAGAAATCATATTTAAATTTTAATGTCAAAAGATTATCTTTCGAAGAAATTTAATTTCATGTCAATTTAAATATTCGTCTTCGTTTTATTCCATTTCAAAGTTCTATACCTCTAAAAAAACCTTTATTAGTCATTTTATTTTACTTTAAAATTCGTGAAATCTAGACACCGATCAGAATTACATAACTATCATTTGAAATAATTACTAAGAAGTTTGTCACGAAATGTCACCATAAGTGAATAAATGTGTAAATTTTAATATGTCAATTTAATTCACATATTTTGTACTTTTGTTGAAGATATTAACAACTATGGGAGGCAGTGTAGAGCCATATTGGAAGAAGTGGCAACTGAAGTTATAGGAAAGCAAAAACGTAAAAAATTGGTCAGACTGGTACGATGAGGAATGCGCACAAGCAACGCAAAGAAAAAATCATGCATATAGAAGACAACAAGGGCAAAGAACGAGACAAACAGAGGAAGAGTATATGCAGCTGAGACGAGAAGAAAAACGAATACTTAAAAAAAGAAGAAAGAGCATATAGGGAGCCAACTAAAAGAACTAGAGAACTATAAGTCACAAACATAAACCCGAAACTTCTACAAGAGGAGTAACCAGAACAGGAAAGAATTCAAACCTAGATTATCAATCGTTAGAAATAGAACAGGGGAGATCATTGGTGATCAGGACCAGATACTAGAAAGATGGGCAGAAAACTTCGAGGAAAGAGGTGAGACAGGGCTCCACGAATCAGAAATCCAACTCAAAGACATTGACGATGAAAGAGAAAAAGATAACATCCCAACAGAGGTAGATGTCATCCAAGCTATACAGAAATTGAAAGAAAACAAAGCTCCTGGGGCAGATGGCATTCCTTCAGAACTTTTAAAGCATGGTAAAAAACCTGACATATTGTATATGTAGACTGCTAGAACTGATCTGGAAGCAAATAAAGTTTGCAGAAGACTGGAATGTAGTGATAATTGTACCTATCCACAAGAAAGGAGATCAAACAATATGTGACAATTACAGAGGAATAACCCTCCTAAACGTAACATACAAAATATTGGCATATATTCTTTACGATCGACTATCGAGATATTATGAAGACATAATAGATAAATATCAATGTGGGTTTCGTAAAGAAAGATCAACGACCGATCAAATACTCCTTCTAAGGCAAGCTCTGGAAAAAACATAAGAGTATAGCATTGATGCTCATCACCTGTTTGTTGATTTTAGATGTGCCTATGATAATGTTGAAAGAAACGCACTGTACAAAACCATGATAGAATTCAGACTTCGTCTTACTAGTGTTAACCTCTAGTCCCATTCTTTTTGTTGCTGCTTTAAGCGTCTTGAATGATTCGACCACGTCCGCCTTTCTTCTTGTAATAATGTCGGATGTCATCGGCGTACGCTAGTAATTGTAAGCTGTGATTAATAATAGTTCTTCTGGTTGTTATTCCAGATTCTCTTATCGCTTTCTCTAGTGCAATATTGAATAGAAGGCATGATAGACTGTCTCCTTGTCTAAGTCCTATCTGAGACTAGAATGTTCATCGCTGGATCGCTTTCACCAATTTTCCACTAGTTAATGAATGTATCAAACAAGATACTAATAAAACAAAATGAATTTTCTTACCTGAAAACTTCATTCCGCCTCCTACAACTAAAATACACCCATACATCTTTCTCTTTATCTCCTCGTTGGGACACCTATCGATACTTTGTAGCACCGCTTGATCCAGACTCAAAATCTGGCCAGGGTTGGTGACGAATTCTCTTATAGAAGCTGGCACAACAGGATCCATAGCATCGACAACGATATCATCTTCGCCTGGGTTGTTTTGTTGGCTGTCCAGAAAACTATCGCTCAAAAGATCTGCATTGGCGGTATCCATACTTTCCTTCATACCTTTGTATAAAATATTAAATATTTAGTATTCATTTTCTTTCAGTGCAGTTCATAATTAAATCAAAATATGAATATATTTTAATATAGTTCTGAGACTATTTTCCTGTGGCTTTCCTAGATTAATAATAGTCCATATTTAATGGGAATAAAGCATAATTCACACATACCAAATTTGACAGAAAAAATTTGTTATACAGTATAGGTAAAAGTTTATGGTCGGTATAGACCTTACGTGAGATGGAGTGAGAAACACCTGTTTAAAAAGAGAGAGGTATATTAGGTCCGCCCTTTATATCGCCGAACATGCATGAGTGGATATAATAAAAAAGGGGAAGTTCAACGTCGCCAAACTTATTAGTTTTATTTGACCTGTTGTCGTTTTAGCATTTTCACAACGTTCTAAGATAATCAAATTTGGGCGGATTTAAATGGCAGCTTACTGTTTTTTATTGGACATATGCCACAATTTTCCTTTACAATAAGTGTAATATAAAATTTTGTTTATTATTATTATTATATTTAATTGTGTTCACATTTAGAATACTTTATGAATATAGTGGTTAAGTTATGATTTACATGGCGATGGTTTTTCCACCATTGTAATGGACTCTCGATACATGTGTACGTTTAGATGAGTCATGTCCAATTAATTGATCAAAAATACACCATGGACTTAAGTAATCTTTATCGGTTTCTTTTTCTTGTACTGGTTGATTTTCAATAGTACAATCTTCTTGTTTCTTTAATTATAAAAGTAAACAGCTTCTTAATTTTTTCTTTTATTTTTTAGCTTCATTTTTATCAGAAAATCCATGCACTTTAAATCGTGAATCCATAAATGTACATAATGACAATGTGCCACTCTGTTTTATCCCTCTATATCTTTTTGCTAAACCCGATATTACTAATTGTACTACGTAGGATACTATGGATGTAAGGTTACCGTTTGCTATAATTTTATTGCAAGATTCTTGCAGGCAGCATACCATAACAATAACTGAACTACCCTTCAAGTATTTTTTCAGTCTTCATTATTTAGATTTGGTCTAAGTCTGTATTACCTAATACCAATGTGGAACGGATTGCCTCTTCTAACTTGGTCATTCTTTTTAACATGTAATAGATGAAGTTCTACCTAGTTTCCACGTCTTGGATTGGCCGTTTGGGAACTTTGTTATGTTGTAATTGATGCTTTAAAAGCCTTTCTGAAGATAAAGTACTTTTTTTGAAATGTGTTTTTTGCCGAATTGTCGAAAAAATTACTTTTTAGTTTATCTATTTGTACACGACAACATTTAAGTATGTCCACTAATAAATTTAACGTATGAGCAAAATAATTTAAATGTTTTCATTCCAAAACATCTTTAATAGCTTTGACCATATTTGAGGCATTATCAGTTACTGCAAAATTTACTTTTCGTTTTAGACCCAACTGATTAATAATTTCACTAATTTCAAAAGCGATGTTTTCTGAATTATGGTTTCCAGAAAAATGGCAGCAGCCTAATAAAACCGTTTTAAATTCTAAATTTTCGGTTAAATATTGACCTGTTAATGCGATGTAACTCTCAGTTACTCCAGATGTCCAGAGGTCAGTAGTAATACACATATTTTCTACTTCTTTAACAACTTGTGATCTAATAATTTGCTCAGTTTTGATATAACATTCCTGAAGTAATGAATCTGACAAAGTTTTTCTTGTTGGCGGTTTATATCCAGGAATCCACCCTACAAACTTTTTAAAAGCTCGTTCTTCAACCATGAAAAACGAGTCTTTGCATAGGTTTAGTAAATCCATATCTATTTGTTTCTTTTGTTCTAAACTAATATTTTTATTAATGGAAGTATCCATTACCTTTTGACGCTTAGGTGGTGGTGGCAGTATGTCAGTACTTGTACTAGAAGTAGTCGAAACAGACAGAAATGCGTCAGGAGAAGTTTCAATCATTGCAATATTCAGAAAGTGGACCATAAAAGCTGCATCTTCTACAAATGTGCATTTTTTGAAAATAAAAATATTATTCTTATACTAGGTCAATAATTTTGACTAAGAAAAAGAATTCTTAATTGCATATTTACAATAAATAAATCCTTTAACGAACTATCAATAAAGATTTGAAATATAAAATGCAGATTAATCGTAAATCGAAACTCATTCATTAATCAGAATACCTAGTTATTTTATTTTCAACGTCAACCGATAGCCCGACTGTCCACTGTCCCGAAAGAGTCGCATGTTATGTTTAGTTTTGTAGTAGTCTATCAGATCAACTAATCGTCCTCGTTGACGTAAAGTGTTCGTTACTCCTCTGTTTACGTCTACACAAAACGTAGTTTTTTTGAATCAACTATCAACTAGTTGGCTTACCAGTGAGAAACTGTAGATTCGTAAATAACAAATAATGATTTAAAATGCAGGGATTTTCTGATAAAAATGAAGGTAAAAAAACAAAAGAAAGAGTTAAGAAGCTGGTTACTTCTATAAAAAAAAGAAAAAGAAGATTGTACTATTTGAAATCAACCAGTACTAGAAAAAGAAACTGATAAAGATGACTTAAGTCCATGGTGTATTTTTGATGAATTAATTGGGCATGACTCATCTAAACATACACCTGTATCGAGAGATAAATGAAGTCGACATGTATTTGTCTGGTGATAATTTACCCACAAAAAATTTCGAACGGAGATTGGAACTGTCCATTACAGTGGTGGAAAAACCATCGCCATGTATATCCTAACTTAACCACTATAGTCATAAAATATTGTAGTATTGTAACAAAATATTTTCCTTGTGAACACATGTTCAAAATCTGGTTTAATTTTAAATAAAAGAAGAACACGGTTAAAAAGAAAAGTGGAAAACTTATGTTTTTAAATGTCAATTTAGACGATTCGCGATTTATTAATGTTTAATGTAAATGTAAGTACTATTTACTATTTGTATTGTTTAATTTATTTTTCAAGTTATAATAAATATATCCCTCGTTAGTTTCTTCCACTTCAATACTTATACACATAAACGATAATAGCCAATATGTTTGTGTACGTTAACGGTTCCGATAAAAATGTCAACGACCCACCTCTAGTTACTTAGGTATAAGGTGGACCGGAACCAGAGATATGTAAAATATCTCTGATCGGAACTAATCGTCTCACTAATAGACAATAGGCGTCTATTAGAAATATGGAGGGGAAATATGATTGATATCTTTGTCTATTCGCTGAAAATATGATTTTATATATGTGTTAGTTATCCTGTTAAATTTTATCATACCGACCATAAACTTTTACCTACGCTGTATATCATATCAGATTTTGTTTGTAACTTTAAATTTAATAAAAAACTTACCTTTTCTCCTTATATCCCTTAGGTAAATTTCATCGTGAGGATCCTCTGGATCACCAGTCGATATCTTCTGTGTATGAATCAATTTCGGTCCAGTAATGGCGAATAACTCGGGACTGAACAAACTGAGCGGTGCCACGATACACTCATCCCCGACTTGGATCGTGTACTGGTAAACGGGCATTCCAGGCTGTTTTAAAACGAACGATTTCTCCTGAGAGCCGCAAATATCCAAGTTGACGTGGCAAAAATCTTCCTTCAGCTTCCTTAGCAGCATGGTGTCCAATTTGTTCTGATCTGAACATTCCTTGTAAGGGAACGCACACTTTTGGAGCAGCCAGTAGAAGATTTGGGTGATGTCCCCGCCTCCATAATCTAATCTAACCCTAAAACATATTAAAGATTATGACAAAACGTAAATTTTGAACTGAAAGAATGTCAATTTTTATTATCATACATCAGTCTTTTAAGTATACTGCTCAACATAGGCGTTTGTTAATATGTTTCACTGTTCCCTTCTGTATGAATAATACTTCTCAAATGACTAGCTTGACCATATTTCGTCTTTAGTATAGTTATTTAACTGCAAGCCCCACCTTTCTTTTGCGATTTTTTAATTAATAAGAGCCAAATATATTAAAAAAAAAATCTTCTAAATCTTCAATATTTACATAAATACTTCTCTAAATAAATATCCTCGTTCATACTAAAGGACTTATACTTTGATAAATACATTTTTAAATCAATCGAAATTTTTAATTAAAAACTCATTATTGCGTACCACGCATGCCCAAGTAATCGCCGAGTTTATTCCACGGAAAAAAGTACGGTTAGAAAATTTAATGGCGACTTGTCGTCGAGGTGGCTGAATACTACTGCTAAGTCCAGCCACTGAGGTCGTTTGAATGTATCCAATATTACAACAGATGGACACAAATACAAATACACAGAAACTGGTAGGCAAGTCAAACGATCAAACATGACAAGTAGAAGTAGACAGCTAGAGGCAGGGAGGACAAACAGATAGAGACAGGTAAAACAGTGAGGTATATGGAAAGTCAAGATAAACAAGAGATATATAGTCAGATAGCCATAACAGACAGACAGCTAGTGTAACTCTGAATGATTTTTTTATTTAAATACCATATAATATAGCAGTAGTCATAATTGTGTTTCTTTTGTTTTTTTTATACATAGTTATGTATGCTTATGTTACGATAAATATGACTCATAACTTTAAACATATTATTTCTAAACCATTCGTCTTTTCTAGATCATATACTTGCCGGCAGAAATTTCTAGTAAGAAGATTAATGGGTCCCCCTCCGATAAAAGAAACCTTTTTGCATTCGATGGAATTCCGTTCTATTGCATGTCATCGATTCTTCTAGATAACGGTTGTGTAGTATAAATAGAGGAACCTTTTATTTAAGGACAGTTAGTTCTAGTTTTGAAGTTGAGTTTTTAGTTCGAATATAAATGTAAAAATAAATTAGTGAATATTATAATAAAGACTTTAATACATTTGTAAGTGTTATAAATGTAGAACCTTTGATAATAAATAAAGACAATAAATTAGATTAATAAAAATACTACACTTAGTACAAGCAGTTAAGTTTACAGTTAAAATTAATACAATGTATAGTATATTGAGTATTAATTGTTTAAATAACCTATATAAAAAGAACCACTATTGAAATTAAGACAATGCTTAAATTTAGTTTATTTTTTAATATTACTAATTAATTAAACTACCAAAATACTTTAAATGAACTTTTTACCAATCTAAGAAATGACGTCATATTGAGCGCCTTACCTTGTATTTGGGTGACAGATTCCATCTTCAACACATGACACAGAAGTTTTTTGATCTCCAACATCAATCACACAAGCATAACTCAAACCAGACCCAAAAGTTGCAGCTACATGATCTTGTACCAAAAAACAGCTTCCAAAACCCATCCTGCTCATTAAAAGATACATCAACTCTCTCAAATATGTTCTGTTGTATACATCGGGTATGACTAATACAGCTCTGTGATACTTTAGGTCTTTCTGGCTGATTTGGAAGTTTGTTTCTAGTATATAGGTCCATATGGTTTCTAAATCAGCCATCACAGATGTTAAAGAACCACCTAGAAAACAGATATAATTATAGTTAAATAGTCAAATTGTTATAAATTTTCAAAAATAATATATATTTGTTAATAATAAGATAAAATAAATGTACAATACAATATCTTCACCTTATATTCACTTCCCTACTTTGATTTCATTAATTGATTCCAACTTACACTTTATTTTAGTAATTCTAGTAATTTCATCAATGCCTGTGACACTGTGTGGAGAGAAGGCCTTATTTATGAGTTAATGAAAATCATACCCTGCCTCAAAGTGTGCCAGCCAATAAACAATTTATTAACTATCAGACTATTTCAGGTATATATGACTGATACACAGAGTTTTGTTAAAAAACTTAACAACAGCTTACCTCAAGGCTCAGTGCTAGATTCATTATTATTTAACCTTTAACCAGGCAGACATACCTGAAATAAAATCAAGAAAATTCGCTTCTGGTGACGACCTAGCCGTCGGCTTCGGCCCCAGACCACCTGGACAAGGCTTAATCCCATACGTACAGGACATGGTAAATGTGCTGACCTGCTATTCAAATGGGGCCGTGTGAAGTGTCCACAGTACGATTGCGGATTACCTAGACAGACCATAAACCACTGTGTTTCAGACTGCCCAAATCATGCCTACCATGGAAACCTCCAGGATTTTGTGTAGTGTTCCACAGAAGCAATTGAATGGCTATGTAGTTAAATTAGATATTAATATTTAGTTTCATTTTATTTTAGTACTTTTATATATGTATGTATCATACTGTTAAAATCCAAATGCTATATAAATAAAATAAATTTAATCAATTTTTTAACCCACTGGTTGATTTTTTAACCACTTATTTTTTCTCCGTGTAGGATTAAGTTCGTAGTTTAAAAATAAACCTGATATCGTCGAGGCGCTTGCCGGCAACGTTTTCAGGTAAAATATCAACCAGTAGTTGAATCTGGCGCGCATTATAGTGTATACTCCTACCTCGCCTGCTTCAAGTGGTCGAAAATCTGCCTCTGAACGTCTGCAGTTATCTATTATTTGTTGTTTTGGTGGATCGTGATTGTTGCTCCAGTTATTATAAAAAAAAAAAAAATGTCACACAGTTCCTAAAGGTAGTCTGACATCATTTTTTAATTTGCTTTATTTAGTACTCTTGGCGCTGAGAAAATTTAGGTAAATTTGTTCAGATGAATTGATGAATTTTAACGTTTATGGTAGTTTTTTTCTACTACCGTAAATATTATCCACTAAGATTAGCAATACAGAACTTACTTTACGCACTAGTGTGTAAAGTAAAACCAGAGTATAAAGTAACTTATGTATTTTTATTCGAAGTGAGCAACATGTTATGCTATAGGAGGAAGTTTCCAAACTTGATTCCAATGAGATTTTCGATTGACTTGAACATTTTGATGATGAGCAAGCAGAAAATTCGGATGTGGTGGCGAGAGTGACGGAGAAGAACAAGTAAAATTTCGTAGGAGAACATTGTCTACCCTTAGCCCTTTAGGTAATATGTCAACAATAGTAAAAAAGGAACACTGGCAGAGTTTCTCAAAACAGCTGGAACACGATTTCTACGGAATACAAAAAGAAATATGGAGAATGATCAGAGGACAAAGAAAAGAGATGACCGAACTAATGAAAACGAAACACTTTCAGAAGGAAACATGGGTAGACTAATTTTGATCCCTGTTTGCTAAAGGTACGATGATGAACCACCAACACCAGAGTTGATGACAAACGAAGAAATAAATATTGAGTAGGAATAGGTAAAGGAAGCATTAAGGAAATTAAAAAATAGAAAATCACCAGGAGAGGACAGAATACCGAACGAACTCCTAAAGTACGGAGGACCATATCTGACCAAAGAATCATTAAAACTAATCCAAAAAATAATAGAACAAAACAGAATTCCTCAAGAATGGAGATCAAGCATCCTAATACCTCTCTTCAAAAAGGGAGACAAATCGGACCCGGAAAATTACAGAGGAATTAGTTTATTAAACACAACACTAAAATTAACAACCAAAGTGATAACAAATAAATTGAATGAAATTATAACACTAGCAGAAGAACAACAAGGTTTTAGGCTGGGAAGATCATGCACCGACGCTATATTTATAATTAGGCAAGTCCAAGAGAAACCATTAGAATACAACAAACCGGCATATCTATGTTTCGTAGACCTTACAAAGGCATTTGACCGAATCAAATTAAAAGACGTTATCCACTTACTGTATGCAAGAGAGATACCTCTAGGAATAATCAAAACGATCGAAAATATCTACCAAAACAACACAATAAAAATAAAAGTAGAAGAACTAACCGATCCTATTTTAGCTGGCCATAGGATAAGACAAGGAGATTCCCTGAGTCCTCTATTGTTCAACCTCACAGGTCAACAATGAATTTGATGTTTTAAAATAAACATCCTTTGTTAGGTAATTTTGACCTCCTGAATCCAAAACTGACATTAGTTTTTTTTCTATCACCTTCCAATTTTTGGCAAATCGAGATCTTATAAAAATTCCTTGATTATACGAAAAGTTTACATATAAAATTAGAAAAACGGTTTTTAGTGTAAATATATGGCACAAATAATTCTGAATTGTGGCAACACCGTAAGCGGCTGCACCTCTCCCAGTCGTAAATAAACGCATCAAAATAAGTTGTTTGTTTTTAGCAGTTCGAGGAAGTTTATAGCTGTGTTTCGAATTCGTGCTATTTATTTGTTATTCTATTCTTTTTTCGAGCTATGAAAAGAAGACATTGTGTTAATAATGCAGACCGCTTTTGTTATATTTTTGGGAGTTTTGTGGTTGCAAAACAAAGACATAACTTAACCTTATTTGGACGTAATGCGTATCATGCCTATTTTGGAGTGAAAATAGGAAAACAAAACAAATATTGGGCAACATTTATTGTATGTAAAGTTTGTGTAGAAGCTTTAAGACATTGGACAAAAGGAAGAAAAAATTCATTGAGTTTTGGAAGTCTCACGGAGTGGCGTGAGCCAGAAAACCATTCTGATGATTGCTACTTTTGTTCCTGAGATTTAAAGGGATTTAATGGTAAGAATAAAAAAAGTATTTTATACCTGAACCTAAAATCTGATCTTAGGCCTATTTCTCATGGCCCTGATGTACCCATACCTATTCTACCAAAGGAGTTAGAGAATGTGTTATCGTCTGATTCGGAACAGTCTGCATTTGAGTCCACAGATTCTGGCATTACTTTTGAAGCAGAAGAAGGACCACAATTCCATCAAATGGAATTAAACGATTTAATAAGAGATTTTGGGAATTCAAAGATGCCTAAGAACTTCTAGCCCCTAGACTTTGTGTTAAAAATTTACTAGCTCCAGGTATCAACCAGTTTCTACAGAAATCGAGAAAAGGAAAAATTCTAGCTTCTAGACTTCGTCCAGGGTCCATATATTTTACTGAAGAAGATGATTTAGTATATTGTAACAATATCTCCGACTTAGTTATTAAGCTAGGAGCTGCCTCTTAGGAAAAGAAAGAATGGCGACTATTTATTGACTCTAGCAAAAGTAGTCTAAAAGGTGTTTTACTGCACAATGATAATACACTGGCTTCTATTCCATAACTGGATGCTTTGTGGAGATCTAAAAGTTCTGTGTGTGCTACTTGGGCAACAGTCAGGTTATACTAAATATCCTTGCATCATTTGTGAATGGGACAGCCGAGCACGAGATAAACATTGGACACAAAAAGAATGGCCTACAAGAGAAAACCTTACGCCAGGAAGTAAAAACATAAAACACAATGTCTTAGTTGATCGTGAAAGAATTTTATTGCCCCCTCTGCATATAAAATTCGGTTTGATGAAACAGTTTGTTAAAACTATTGACAAAAGCGGAGAATGTTTTAAATATATTTGTTCAAAATTTCTCAAGTTGTCCGATGCAAAATTAAAAGAAGAAGTTTTTGTTGGTCCCGGCATTTGATTTTTATGCAGAGATGAAAACTTTCAAAATCCTATGACGCTTATCGAATAGAAAGCGTGGAATTCATTTAAAGAAGTTATCGAAAAGTTCTTGGGAAATAAGAAAGTTCCAGACTATGAGAACAATGTCACACAAATGCTACAACATTTTCGTAAGCTAGGATGCAATATGAGTTTAAAAGTACATTTTTTATTAGCTCATCTAGACCAATTTTCTGGAAAACTTGGAGCTGTTAGCGAAGAGCAAGGGGAACGTTTCCACCAAGACATTAAGCAGATGGAAAGACGTTATCAGGGTAAATGGACGTACTGGCGTACCGTAAATGGATGGCAGACTACTGTTGGATGCTAAAACGTGATAATCCTGACAAAATTTATAGAAAAATTTCTACCAAACGCAGTATTTTGACAATAAGGAAAAGATTTCATTAAGTTGTGCATACAAAATATGTAGTTTTCTTTATTTTGAGCATTACCCTTATTTTTAAAATATATTAATAAATGTATTTATAAGCACATTTAGTGTTTTTTTTTAATTTTTAATTTGCTAAAATATCTTACGTGATAGAAAAAATTGGTTTGCAGATTTGGAATCAGCGCACCAAAATTATATAAAATCACTTGTCAAATTTACAATATCTTTCAAAAAGTTTTTTTTTGTAGGCCTGTGTTATGGATGAAATAATAAAAAAAGTAAGAACTAAAAAAAGGATACCAAATGGGAGAAAAACAACTTAAAATAATCTGCTATGCAGACGACGCAATACTACTCTTTCAAAGTGAAGATGATTTACAACGTATACTGCGCCAATTTAATATAACCGCCAGAAAATTTAAATGTTAATTTCCCAAAAAAAGAAAAAATGCATGGTTATAACAGCAAATTTACTAAGATGTAAGTGGGAGCTGGAAGGTCAGATAATAGAACAAGTGATGGAGTTTAAATACCTAGGCATCACGTTATCTAGCTAGGAAAGCTCGAAATTGAAGTGGAAGATCACGTAAATAGAGCAAACAGAGCCGCAGGCTGCCTAAATGAAACAAT